TCACCTCGCTCGCACCGGCAGGCACAACGAACACCGATTGTACCGTCACGCCCTCGCGGACAAACACTCTCGACGCAGTGCCCACAGCGGGCGGCAGTGCGGGAGCTCCCACAGGCACGCACGCCTCGCCGTACCCGCCGCTGCCGCACGCGCACACGCACACACCGTTCCTCATGCTCGCAGAGGCCGTCCCGGGCGCGTAGCAGTGCGTGTCCCTGTCGCAGGCGCCGCACCCAGCAACGTCGATGCGCCCAGCGTCGCCAAAACCAGCCGCTGCGTACTCCTCCGCCGTCGACAGGACACGTCCACCAGCGTCGTTGCACGCCACCCTCAAATGCGCCCCAGCCGCAAGCGACAGGCTCACCGACAGCATCCGCGGCAGCAGCGCTCGGTTGCGCACAAAGCTCAGCGTGCTCCCAGCAGCGGTCACGGCGCCAGCGGCGTAGAGCATCTCCCTCGAGACGCCGTCGTGCACGTTGTCCTTCGCCAGAAGCATCGAACCGCCGGCCAGGCTCACCGTCGAATAGAACGCCACTGCGTAGTCCCCCGTCGACAAGAAGTCGCTCCGCACAAGCGCAACGGCGGAGCCCGACACGCTCACAGCCCCACGCACAGACACCGCGTGCTTGCACAGCAGGAAGTCGCTGCCAACAAACGCCACCACGGAGCCGCCACTGGCCGCGACACCGCCCTCCACCGACACGCACAGCCCCAGCGCCGTCTGCACCAACAGCCCGTCCAAGTACAGCGCTCCGCGCGATGACAGTGCCACGCCGCCAAAAAACAACACGCCAACAGCGTCGCGGAACACCGCCGCCACGTACGTGCGCGCAATGGTCAGCACGCTCCCCGTCAGATTCACGTTGTGCAGCACGAGGCACGCGGACGCATCGCCAAGACCGTAGGCACCGCGGTACGCAACATGCTTCTCTGCAATCAGCACCGAGTCCACCACAGTGACGCGCGAGCCCGGCGGAAATCGGTTCGCCACCACCACGCCGCCGCCAGAGCGCGACTCAAGCCCGCTGATCAACACATCGGTGCGCTCGCCAGCAGGCGGGTCGGACAGCCACCCCAAAACGTACAGGCTCGCTCCGCCCACAAACGTGCAGTTCGCCAGCGTCACGTTGCGCACGCTCCCTGACATCGACTCCACGTCCACCACGACATCCGCCGCAAAGGTCACACCAACGTAGCACGCCACCGACGTCCCGAGACCGGCGCTCACCTCCACATCCGCACGCACGTCCCGCACGCACAAGTCGGCGCCGTCGGTGCTCGGTGGCTCGGGGACAGCGACGGGCAGGCACGCATCGCCGTGGCCGCCCTCAGCGCACGTGCAGGCGCAGCCGTCACTCGAGGCTGTCGTCGTGTACGCAGGGAAGCACCACGCCGCAAGGGCGCATGGGTCGCTGCAGGTCAGAATGCTGGCATTGTACACGGATGGAATAATGTATTTCACTCCCTCCTCGCCGTTCACAGTGTTGCACGCAGCCACAATCGCTCCGTTTGTGATATCGCGGGGCCTTTTGGGTATCTGAAGCACTGTCGGTGCGCCCGTGCTGGAAATGAATTGGTTGCCAGACACAGACACCGTGGAGTCGCGG